AAATTGACTATGTGTGATACAAAATTCTAACAAAATATAATACAAGAGTCACTTGCCAGGAAATTTAAATTACACATTTTATTTTTTAAAAACCTTACAATTCGAACCAAATATTTCGGTGAGCTGAACGTCCAGCTTCCTGGAATTCCCTGACAGCTAAATCTATCCTTAACAAAACAATGCCATGTGGGCTTTTCAAAATTACAAGGAATGCTTTGTTAGGGACCGAGCCAGGGAGGTCCCTATTGTATTTCTAGTAATTCTTCTTCTACCTATTATTATTTTTTTGCCCCTTCGTACTGCATTTTTGCCCATCTGAACATATACGAAAACTCAATTTTATTTGGCAAAGTTGTCAGGCCTGGTGAAAATGGGATATTCTATGCGTCGCTTTTCGGGTCAGCCACTAGGTGGCACTACTATCATAAAAAATTCTTGTTTTGACTTTGTATTTGAGGTGCTCTTTTTACATGGTTTGATCATGTTGAATATGATTGTGGAAGTCTTCTGTCTCAGTGGCTCTGCCCCCATTGTTTGCCAGGTTGTCGTTCATCTCATGTTCTGACTCTGGATCTTTCCTTGGGGGCTTTTCCTTCACCTCTGTTCTCATGCTTGGGTTCTTCTGGGACATTTTGGAGTCTTGGAGTCCCCCAAAGACAGAAATCTGAATGAAAACACATCTAAGCCTTTAGTTAGAGATAAATGACTGCACTTCTCAGACTACTACATGCTAAATACTTGTGTAAAGATGCTATACAGTATCTTCTGGACCAACAGTGCCATGTACAGATACATTATTACTGATTACCAGTGCATCAAGTTGCATCTCTCATCTCTCTTGCTAATGTTGTTGTTCATCTCTGGGTTCATTCATTTCAGGTCTCATTTAGGTTTTTCTTCATCTCTTTACTCATGGTGTGATTTGTCTTCATCATTTTTCTCATCCTTGTTTGACTCCTCTTGCTCACTTTCTTGCTCTTCATTAGGACTGTTCACTTATCTCTGTTCCAACCTTGGCTTTCTCTGGGTTTTTTTCATTATTTATTGGAGTCTCCTAAAGTGAAGATAAGTAATCCTCCATTTATTCCCATAGAGATATTGGTTCTCTGTATGTAACTCATCCTGCGTATTAGCAGCAGTGGGCAGCCACTGTGCAGCACCCAAGGACCACCTCTGGTTTTAAACCAGGGCCTCGGTCAACAGCACTGTCCGGAGAATTAACCCACATACACCTTTTGATGATGTGGGAACCCAGAGCACCCAGAGGAAACAAACACAGGGGGGACATGCAAACTCCACACACAAAGGCCCTGCCCCAACCAGGTATCGAACCCAGTCTGTGAGGTGACGGTGCTAACCACTGGGCCACCATCACGCCCCAAGACCTGAACGACAAAGCAACTTTATCTTTTAAAACGTGAACAGCCCTATCTAGAGCCAGTGTTTGATTAGTCTGTTCTGTAGAAACATGGCAGTTCAACATGGGGGACTCCAACGGCTCATTCTAAGGTAACAAAAACACGATTCTTACATTCAGGTGACATATACATCTAATGAAAACATACTATGAATATTATATTACATTCTCTGACAAAAGATCCTCCTAAATGTTACACACTGGACTTTCAAATTAAATTATATATATTAAAATAAATGTTAAACATCTTCAGAGCCATTTTACTTCCTCACTGGCATATCAAATAGAACATGTTCACCTTTCCTCGCAGTGATTTTTTTCTAACTGCTTCCTCACGTCTCCTCATTCTGGGTGAAGATGTTTTACAGAATGGAACTGGTTCCAAAACATGTGTGCTAGTGAAGCCCGTGCCTGGGTGGATTTACTGTAGGAAACATCTCGGAGAGTTTCAGTTTTGATAGGTGTAGATACCTTTCAGCGCTGCGTAACCAGAAGATGGCGCACTATCACCGCTCAATGAGGACTGAACGGCTCCTAACGCGTGGGGCCATGTGGTCCTGAGGAGAGGAGCAGAGGAGATCACCGCAGTTTCTTACACTTTATGGTCCTCCTATAAAATTTCAGTATCTATTTATTCTCATATGCTTAACTCCGTGTTCATTTAGGAACTGAAGTGAGGATACTGTAACAGGCAGTTACTTTCTGTTTTATCTTATCGGCGGTGCTTCATGCAAACAGCAGTTAAAGGTCCGCTTATTTTACACAGAGCGGTCCACATCAGGGTGAAAGGCTACTGGCTTCCACAACAGCATCTCTGTCTTCTTCTTTGTCCCCCATGATCTCCGCTTTGAAGCAGAAGTGAAAGGCGTCACGTGACTCTGCATCTGCTCTCAGTTGTGGCAAGATAACCACGCAACGAGAGAGAGAGAGAGAGAGAGAGAGAGAGAGAGTTGAGGAGGAGCTTGCTGCGATAAGATTCCCTCCACGCACCATCAGCACCACAAACTTGCAGTCTACCCATCCATCTTCATCTTTCTCCGGCGCGCTTTTCCTTTTACGACCACACGTTTTAATGATTTCCCCCCCGCCGGAAGGTGCACAGGTGCATCCCGCGGTTAATACTCGCTCTCTGCTGAGTTGATTATGGTCACAACCCCCACGGTGCCAAGGTGGAGCCACCGCGCGTATCTCGGATCGGTGCGCTTCTCCAGGGGCTGGGATGCGCACCGGGCACCTCTCGCTTCCTGCCAAGTTTCGGGTCTGAGCAGGAGTCTAGCGCTGCCCCGGGGCGCCGAGGCAGGAGGACCCAGTCGACCCGGAGCAGGATGCCGGTGATGAGAGGGCTGCTGGCCCCGCAAAACACCTTCCTGGACACCATCGCCACCCGCTTCGATGGCACCCGTGAGTAACAAACCAGAGCGTTCTGATGACTATGAAACACTTTTATTCTTTCCTATATGATAGGAAATAATCCACAGTATGGAATACTACAGGCATAATATGTCCCTGCGTACATGTGAGAGTGTTGGTGGAAAGATGCCACTTTAAAAGTGACAAAGGAGGACCAGTCTCTTAATTTGTCTACAAAGTGGCATCCTTAGAGGACACAATGTGCACCTGTCTGCACAAGAAGTCAGGCCATGCTTTCACATGAATGGAAATAATTAGTGTTAAGTTCTACAAATACATCATAGGACAGTCAGTATTCTGCTCTTCTATTCTAGTGATGGCAGTACTGTGATGAGAACCAATATGTTGTGTAATGGATGCAACTGAATGTATTAAGATATTTTGTCCCTGTAATTTAAGGCCAGCAGAGCCCATGAGTTCTGTTCAGTTCCATTGTGCAGCATCGTGTCTATTTTGCACACACCCCCAGCCTTCAGTCAACCAGTTTCACCAGTTCACTGTTCGAGGCCCACGTTTGCACTTCACTTCCCCCATGAGCCGACAAAATCCTGTTTTATTCTTCTCTCTATCATAACGTTCAGGGTATTTAAGCAGTTGGAATGATGCTGAAGAGATGGAGGTAGGATGTGTGCAATTTTTCTCTTTGGTGAGGGTGTCTTGTGAACAGATGCGATGAGCAGCCCGAGTGTGTTTGGGCCCATGCTGGGTAGGTGGGCGGCTGAGAGATGCTTATATCGCGGTCGGGCAGCTCATCTCTCCTTCTGCGTTGATTATTCAGGGCGGCGACAACGGGAGTTTGTGTGAGTCTGCGAGTGAGCAGAGCCAGTGTCTCCCCTTAAACCGGTTATGTGTGACAGCATGATAGAAAAGATTATTGGACCATCCAGGCAAGCTATTGCGCGAAGGCAGATCCCCATCTCTCACTCAAGGTTTTTCCCAAGTCCTCTCCTCTCCTCTCCTAACTAGTGGTGGACTTGAGGGGCAGTAGTGAAAAAATAAAAAGGGCACTAGAAAGTTAACCCTAATCCTATGCATTTATGGTGAAACAACTAAGTCAGGGTTAGAGTTAGCACCCTAGCAGACACTTAACTGTGTTTTCTCTACTGGAAGGACACCCTAGAAGGTACTTTGTTGTGTTTTCTCCACTAGAAGGGCACTTATCTATTGCACCCTTGAACATATTTTCTCTACTGGAAGAACAACCTAGAGGGCACTTTATGACATTTTCTCCACTGAAGGACTCCCTAGAGCCCACTTTGTAATGTTTTATCTACAATAATGGCACTTAAGAGGGCACTTTGACATTTTTGTGAACATGGGGGCACACCAATGGCCCCCCATGCCTCCCCTCCTCTAGTGCTCCTAACTACACTGGGAAAACACAGTGGCAATAGTGCAGCACATTTAAATGTTCTGACTTTGAAAGGCGAAGTGAGTAGTTAGTGTGTCTTTGTAAGGACTCAGGTTCTCTGCTGTGATGACAAAAAGAAATAAATAGCTTCTCTGTGTTGTATTGTCCTTTATCCTCACACTTATCTCTGCACTCTTATGCATCATATGACAAAGAGTCTACAAATGCTTCAGGTCTCAACCACTATAACGGTGTAGCCTGCATTATTCAGAGGAGATGCTTGCATACATGTACAGTGCACACATACATTCATGCACCCCCCCCTGCTGCCTTGTCCAGCACACACAATACTCGCATGTCAGACAGCGGAATGTCAATCCCATTCCTTTTCATGTTCTGTAGATTAGCCCTCATTATACAAAGAAGTGGTCGGAACCCAGCTATTTTTCTCCTGAGTGGCTAAAACACAGGCCTCGCGTTTGCAGAGGTGCTGATAATTACACATCTCCAGCAGTGCATGTGCAGTCATTGTAATTAACTCGCATGGATGTCAAGAATTCATCGTGGCCTTTCTGCTCGTCAGTGGAGGAGGGGGGTGGAATGAGAGGTTGTGGGGGTGGGGAGGCGGGAGTGGGAGCATGATGGTGGGAGGAGGGGGAATTTTGGATGTCTAAATATAAATCCATTATGGGTCTAGCGGTGACAAACATGCAGCTATGTGTTTTTTAAATGGTGCAACATCAGTTGCTCATTAAATCCGACACTCAGTGAGGAGAAGGCCAGTTACGTTTCTGCGTGGAGGTGATGGAAGCTTTGTGCCTCGGTGAATACTGACCCGTGTGTGTGTACTTCTGTGAAAAGGCTTTTTGTTGTGATGTGAATCAAATGGCAACCATGATTACTTTAAAATAGCCACTCATCTCTGCCAAAACTCCACCTGAAAGCACTTCGTTTTCTCTTGTTGAAGACTATTAGCTGCTTTGTGCAGCTGCTCCATTGTTTCACGTGTCTCGCTCGACCCAATGTGGAATCTGGCAACACTGGCATTGCACTTGTCTGTGGCCCTTAAGTTCGGAGTTCAGAGCAGAAAAGGCTGGTTTCAAAACATGCCACCATCAAAATGAAACTCACACATATACACTCCCAGCCGCGTGTGCTTCTGTGACTCATGTCCACTGGGCTCTAACAACACTTTCTTGCACTGCTTTCTGCACTTCCTCTTGCTCAAACACGACACCTGAGTATAGAGAAAGTGGAAAGTGTGCACATCCAACCCTAGTTGTCTACAGGAGTGTAACAAAATCAGCAGAGACATGCACTGGACAAAAATGACCTGTATCTGGAAAGATCAGTGATATACAGGTTTATGGATCTGTATCCAGATCTGTATATCACATCATATTATGTCATATAAAAATACAAATAAAGTCCGTCAAAGATCCAGTCTACACACTGTCCATACAAATGTGACACCACCATGGATAGTACCATTTTGTTTTAATGTGGAAATTAGACTTTTTTTGTGTCAGACACATTATTGTTCCAAGCAGGCTATTTGTAT